CTCTGTGTGGAATTTACAGAATAAATCTGTACTCACACCAGGTGTGAAAATTTCATCGTCGGTAGAATTTGCATCGACTAGTCATTGCTGAATTTCGAACCTGGGTCACTTTATTTATTAGGTACACGCTCATTCTCCTGAGCCACTGCGGCTGAAGTGCTATATTATGAAGAAATTGCGATGGTGAAAATATCACATCCATAATATATCAATTTAATAATAGAATCGCAGTTTTCTTTATACGATGTTCGAAGCCATAAAGTGATTGTTAAAATGTTAGAGCAAGTATAGAAAATAATCATTAAATTATAAAAAAATGGGTAAAGTTATATTACGGAACACAAAACTTCAACTAACGGTTTTAGTATGTTTGTGATTAGGGTTAAAAACGGTGAAAAACCGTTTTTTTAACAAAACGTCTTTAAACCGTTAAATATGCGGAAAAATCGCTAGAAAACAACGGGTATTTTTTACGATGAAAATATAAATGATATATCAAATATTTGTTAACAAAATAATATTTGCAGTGGATTTTGTTGTATAATGATAAATAATTTTGATAATATTTCAAATTTATTCCGATTTATTTTCTTCGTTTTTGCTATTAAAAATTTTTATAATGAGATTTGTTAAATTTTATATTAAAACAGGGTAAGTTTTATATAATAGAAGGATAAATTTTGCTTTGTTTTCATAAAATCATGTTTTAAGTCATGTAAAGATGATTAAATTATTTTATTCTTAGAATATAATAGAATTGTTCTGTTCTATTATATTCTGAATGTTTTGATGTATTAAGCTTACATTTATTTATTTTGTGTATATAATACTTATGTAATTTATATACATTAATTCTTGAACTTATAATTTCAGAAAATATTTGGTAAATATGTATGCATGTCTACAATATTTTTGTAACAAATATGAATGGATAAAAGTAATTTAATTCATATTTATAAAAAAACCTACAAAAAAAAATTCCAACTTCTAATTATACCTGACGTGAAATTGCCCCTTTCATGTTTTTCCCCCGTAACTGTTTTGTTTACGTCATGATTGTGGTCATGCGTCATAATAAATTAATCATTCTAGGATACATTTGTCAGACTTAGATAATGATTTAAAAATTACTACAATCGACACATTGATTTTTCTAGTAAGTACGTTCCATTTCTGAAGAAAAATGAAAATTTTATTCAATAATTTAGAAAAATATATATATAAATAAATAGAGATAGAACATATAATTCGTAATTCAAGGCAAAATAATAATAATAATTTACTATAAGTACTTCTTGCCTAATAATGGATATGTAATAAGTAACTAATTTATGTCCCTTAACAATTATGTCACTAATTTATGTACTAAGTTTAACTTCGAACGGTATAAAAAAAACTACACAAGACATGTTAATTTATAAGTGAAAGTAATTAGTTTAATTATGAACTCAATCACAAAACGTAGTTCTTTGTTTATTTGGCGAAATTTCAGTATTTCTCCAAACCGTTGGAACCAGTAGCGCGAATAAAAAAACACTACTATTTATTTTAAAAACTGGTTGATATAAAGACAATTTAACGCTGAAAACAATGTTTAATCATTATTTACAATCAGTTTTAATTTTTTGATTAGTTGATAAACAGAAACACTTCTAATTTTTGGGTGTGAAAATTTTGATGTATGTATATAATCTAAATTACTCTAAATGATTAAATCAAAAATCTAGAAGAAATCGGTTGAATATTCGTGAAGAAATAAAAATTCAACTTCAAATAAATTTAATTTTTATATTTATTTTAAATTAAAGTTAACTTCTGAATTCAAAATTTTGAAAATATAATTGAATGTGCAGTTGTTAACAAGCAATGAAAAATTTAAAATAATGTCTTGACATTTGAAATAGGATTGGAAAAAGATGAATTATACATATATTTATTTATTTTTTATTTTAGACAAAGTGTTCCGAAGAGCATGCTTTTTATACGGTGGATGTAACTTATACTAAACTTATACAAATTTTTTGATGAGCAAATTGATCTACGCTTAGAAATTCAAATGCAGGTAAGAAAATGTGCTATAAATTTTTTGAGTGTTACCTTTCTTTCAAATTTAGTAAAACAGACACATACAAAGGTAAGAAGTAATAAAATTGTATCAAAGTGATACTTATAAAGTATTCCAATGTGGATTTACGTTCAAAGATTTAAAACAAAACAATTTCTAGCTGTTAATGTTTAATATATTAGTTATCAAACTAAATTTTACATTTCCTGAAATTACGCATATATATTTAACTTCTTTTCTACTTTTTAATTTGTTCGATAGACCGAATGCGGTTTAGCATTTTCGGAAAGTTCCGTTGGACGCTTGTCTTCTACCCTGTCAGTGTTCTTCAGCTTTCTGATCGCAGAGCAGTACAGATACACTGTAAAAAATACTGGATCAAATTACGTTATAAAGTACCGGTATTTTCGATGTATTATCCGTAAACTCCATTTTCGTCGTAAAATATTCTATTGTATTTTTACAGTATTTATTTAAATGGAGTGATTCGGTGATTTTATAGTAATTATTACTGTAAAAATAATTTTACAGTATTATATATTTAATTAGAGTACTTCAGTGATTTTGCGGTAATTATTACGGTAAAAATTACGGTATACCAGAATTTTTGTTCTCCAACATGTTCCAATAAAAATTATGGATTTTACGGTAAAAAATACCGGCAAGTTGAGTGCCGGTATTTCTAACCATAAATTTATTCTTACTTTTTTACAGTGTAGATCTATTTTCCGAGCCCTCTAACCATCTCAAATTTGGTCTGCCGTTTTCTTTTTTCTTCGAGTACATGTATATTTAAACCCTTCGACGCAGAACTTTGAGTAAACATATTTTCCAAAGTTTTTTCATTATTTTATATTTATTTGAGTAAATTAGTAAAAAATATTATATTAAGCATTTAAATTACTTATGGTTATGAAATACAACATGAAACATCGGTGGTTTTCTTTGCTTTAAAAGTAAAATTGTCCAAAAACGGCTCACTTTTAAACAATAATTTTCTAAATTTACGCCTATTTACAGTTATTTAGATCTAATAAAATTAGTCATTCATCATTGAAATTTCTTTAATTTTCAAAATCAATTATTTATAAATTTTTAAAAATGAATAAAGATAAAATGTTTCAAACTACTTTGTTTGGATTTTATATTTTATTATTACAAATGTAATTTCAATAATCAAAAAGATTTTTTGTAGTAATTATTACACTGCTTCGTTTACATCAGATTTATATGCCAAAATATATTTTTGCTTTTAATTAGAACGTCAGGAAAAAATCTAAATAAAATGAACACCGTTGTCCCTTATGTGTCAAAAGGTTAATGAGCATGGCAAAATTATAGAAATTATATAATTTTCGCTTGTAGAATGCAATATAAATAAATAATTTAATTTAAATAAATTTGCTCTATAAATTTATTATGAATCAACTATTTCTGTGTCTGTGTTCCCTTGCTGTATCTACTGTGTTTGTGCTCTCTCACAGTATCAATAAATAAAAAAAAATTTGCTATCTTCAACCTGATGCAACATACTTGGATGAAATTCAGATATTTTGGCAAATAAATTTGGTACAAGCGAACCCTCCTCACATATACGTAATGTTGTTGTTGTCATGGACCAATAAGGAACTGGGGGGTGCGATTGTTCTATTTTCCAATGGCGCAGTCTATATCCAAGAATTCAACTTCTATCACACCCATACGTCACACCCGTTAATAGTATGGACTCATTCATAACATCCATTCATTTATCCAAATATCGTAATTTTGATCTGAACCCGAGAAGGATCAATCTAGAATCCAGTATCCCTAGTGGTATAATGTGTTATGGGAACATGGAGTACTTTATAACTCAACAGATTTAACGTGCACCAGTCAGCGGCGATCTGGATTCGAACCCCTGTTCTCACGAACGTGAGTCCGAAGCCTTATCATCCAGGCTATCCCGACTCGACATATACGTAATGAAAAGTAAAAATAACTTTTCGCGTTGCTTTAATATTTTGAATGAAGTACTTGCTTTATATGAAGTTGCTATGAATGAAGTTGCTTCAATATTTTGAATGAAGCAGCTAAAATTATTTAATGTTTAGGGGGTAAGAGCTATTTCACAAGAAAAAGTAACTATTTTATTGAAGAAACAATCCATTTTATAATTAAGAGAAATTATTACCCAAAAAAATGTAACAATTTTATAGAGGAAAGTATTAATTTTATAGTGGAATACCATTTTAAAAGGAAAAGTAAATATTTTATGAAGGATGGTATTAATTTATAATCTGTAGCAATTCTTTTATAGAGGAAATTATTCGTTTCTAAGGAGAAAGTGACCATTTTATAAGGGAAATTACAATTTTGGTAGAGAAAGATGTTCATTTTTAGGTAGAAAAAGAGGAATTTTCGAAAGTGTTTTGTGTACAGTTTATTATAAGAGAACTATGCATTATGTAGTGAAAAAATAACAGTTAGTAATACTGTTTTTGTAAATTTAATTCTTAATTATAACACCTAATGAATATTAATAGAACGAACTCTTTTGTTGAAAAAAACTAAATTCATCCTTTTTTCTACACCGTGAAAAAATTTCGGACAAAAAATCAGATATGCTGTAATTTTTATAGCAATAATTATTGTAAATCCACTGAATCACCCTAATTAAATAAATATTTCTGAGAAATTACTTGATTATATGTTAAGGTGAAAATGGACATAGCGTGATTTTTATAATAATAATTATTGCAAAATCTTCGAATCACACTAACTAAATAAATATTAATGTAAAAATTACTTGAAAATATTTTACGGTAAAGAGGGATTTTACGGATAATGCATTCAAAGTGCCGGTACCTAATACCACAATTCGATCCAGAATTTTTTACAATGCAGTACGCAAAGTATAGTTAAAAATTTTTATTCATTTATTATTATTTTTCAGAAAATGAAAAAATCACCCCAAGGAAGATTATACAAAGCCATGACATTTGCCATAACTTTCCCATTGCTGGTCTGGAGCCAGGTAACAGGCGCACCTGACTCGTTATGCCCCGCAGTTTGCGTTTGCCATAACTTGCAAGATGAAGGACTCTATAAATTAGACTGCTCTCGGGTAGATCTGTCAATAGTGCCACCCCTTGATGACTGGCCAGCTAATGTCACTCATATGGACCTAAATTCCAATAAAATTACAGCCTTGGACGTTGAACTAGGTCATCCCACAGTAGAAGTTTTGGACTTAAGCGATAACCGCATTGCGACTGCCGTTCAGTATGCTTTTGGAGGTCTTACTAAATTGAAATATTTGAATTTAGCAAATAACGCTATTTCGTCATTTGCTGACAATGGATTCTATGGTCTTGATCATCTACTGGCACTGAACATAAGCGGCAATAACTTGCACGTTATTCCAGATCGACTTTTGTATAATTTCCTTGGCCTGCAAGAGTTATCACTGGCTAATAATCCATTAACTCACATCGATCCCATTAATTTAAATCGTATGGTGGCTTTGAAATGGTTGGATCTCAGCAATACTAATCTGTACTCGATGCAACCGCATATATTCCATACCACACCGCAGCTTGAATTTCTGGATTTATCTTCCAATGATTTCCACGAAGTGCCAACGGATGCTTTGAGAAGTGCCAAGAGTCTGAAGTACCTTAAATTGAACGAGAATCCAGTGGATAGACTGGATAAGAAGTCTTTCATCAAACTGAGTACACTGGAAGTTTTGGAATTGAATGAAATGGATCAGCTTGAAAAAGTTTTCACTCAAGCTTTTTCGAGTTTGACGAGTTTGCGTGTGCTTGAAATGAAATACAATCGATATCTGACGGTTATTGATGCTCGGGCGTTTGATGGATTGTTCAATAACACGAGGCCAACACTTCAAGAACTGGATTTGGAAGGAAACAAGATATCTAAGATGGATAGAGACATGGTGCCGTGCGCAAAGTTGAAAAAGTTCAACGTTCAGACAAACCCTTGGCAGTGTGATTGCAACTTAAGGTGGATCAAAGAGTGTGATATCCAACAGATTTACGCTGCTGATTTAAGGTAAACATACATTCTTTTTATATGTTTTTAAACCTGTTTTAAAAATTAAATCAGGCATTTTATTGAATATTTAAAGCGCGTTCATCCATTGAATAAAAGTTCAACACCTTTATTTAGTCGATGCTATAATAATGTTATCTATATATATATTTCTCTTACACGGCGATAAAAAAAAAGCCTCATTACAACTCCCCGAATGGCAACGCTAGAAAATAGACCAATGATTTCTGCTAGAAATGTCACATGCCAAATCTAGCTAAGATGGCTCAACATATAGCGCTTTTAAAAACGGAAACTGAAATAACCAAGGAGAGCATAAGCTAGGCAGAAGTCTTTGTCGATAGATCTCTATTTTAGTTTTTTGTCGAAAGCGTTTTTTTTTCACGAATTTATGTGTTACGAATTTATTTGACAATTTTTGATTTATATCACGAATTTATTTGCTTTACTAGAATTTATTTGTTTATGCAGGTTTTTCCATTGCAATTCACTTATTTAAATTTTTAATAGACTTAATTATAGCCGAAATTTTAACCTTTTTAAAGAGATATCAGTTTTAGAAATTTTATCTTAAGATTTTATACTATAGCACATTTCTAATAGATTTAACGAATTACATGTCATTTATTTGAATTCAAATTTATTTTAAGGACTCAGTATTTACTAAAAAGATGTAATTTTTTTTAGAAAAAAAAGTTGTTATATGGATTTAAATGATTGTTTTGAATTCTTAGAATTTTGAGCATTTGCAATGTACCTAAGTTAGTAGCGAGCGAAACGAGCTTGGTTTGCGGAGCAAACCATATAAGATTGCGTGGCAATTTTAGGGGGTTGGCGAGCGTTAGCGAGCAGGGGGCGCAGCCCACTAGTATACTATATTTCTTCAGAGGCCGTTTTCATGAATTTCTTTTAAATCAAGCATAATTGGTCTTTCTTTTTTTTATTGCTTTTTAACTTTCGTTATTGCAATTTAGGATGGAATGTGACATTCACCAGATTTTTAAGAACGTGAAAAACAAATGTTTTATATTCCTTTTGACAAGTGTCTTCGCGAAAATATTATTTGAAATCGAGGATTTATAATTTTGAACCGGCGTTGAACAACCCAAATCCGAATATATGACGTTTAATGTAATTTTGAACTCAAGAAGAAACAAATACTAAGTTGAGAAGTAAATTTAACCGAATATAGCGTTTTCATGCCATGCTCTAAGGCAGAGGTTCTCAAAAGGTGTTCAGAGGAACCCTAGGGTTCCAGAAAGATGTACAGGGGTTCCATGAGTTAGGAAATTTTTTTTAACCAGCAAGTATTTTTGAAATTTTTTAGTAGGCTAACCTAGAATATATTATTTATTTAATATTTCGGTTATTTTTATGATTATTAAATCAAAAAAGAAGTAACAAAATTTTAAAATGTCAGGAATTATTTCTTAGCCTAAACATGCACAAGTATTTCTCATTGAACTTTGAGATTCAAAATAAAATAACTAAATTCTAGAAGAAAAAAAATATTTTTCTCCGATAATCTCTCTAACAGTTTAAAACAGTTCTTCTTCAAAAACCACAACTCAGTTTATTTTATTCACTTAGACTTGTGCAAGCGTCAAAAAGCTTCTGTAAACTTATGAATCTAACTGCCAAGCATATAAATTAATTTTAAGACAGTTATTGATGGAACATTTCATAAATTTCATCCTTCAGAATAACTATTTTCACATTAATTTGTTTTTCTTTACTCTTCTTTATTTCTTCTCTTCGTCTTTTTTGTCTTTTCTTCTTTTTTTCTAGTACATTCGTAGCTGTTAATGAACTTTTTTAAAAGTAATAGATCCGCCAAACGAAACTCGACTTTTTAGGCTTCTGTAGCCGAAAAAATTTGGGATACTCTGCTCTGAGGTATCATGATAAAACTACCACACTTGCCAAATTTTAACACAAGTTATAAAACCATATTTTATTTGCTAAATTATCTTTTTCATTAATCTTCTTTACCTTTTCGGGAAAATAAGGAAAAATATTTAGTTTTTGTCTAGATGTTTTTAGGAATATTTTTAGTTGAAAATATTTATTTGTAAATATATCATTGATTTTTCATAGCGAATGTTTAGCTATTTCACTATATATGTTTCGACTTCAAAAAAACATTCATTTTTTCTATGTTTCAAGATGTAAGAGCTATAAAAAAATATTTATAAGTGATTTGTTCATAAAAATAGGTTTTTACGGACAATAACTGAAAAATACAGAAGAACAAGAACCGAAACTTAAATTCCGACTGTTAGGAGTTATAAAGTATACGAAAAAGGAATCCCAGTTTATTGAAAGTACACTCTCTATATCTCGAACTTCAATAACTCGAAAACCTCGTTATATTGAAGAAAATATTTTTCCCCTTGGAAAAATAATTTTAAAAAATTCAATATATAATATCGAATTTTTTTAAAAAAAAATTCTATTAATTATTGTTAAAATTCATTAAAAAATTACCGAGCTTTTTGGTGTTTCCAAAGAGCCAGACATATGGTAAACTTTAATATATTCTGATAGTGTTGATTATATTTTTTCTCATTGTAATAATAAATCATTCATTACAGAAAATTTAAAAATAATGATTTTTTTCTATTTCCCCAGATGCATGTACCCGAAGAAATTTGAAAACGCCCACATTTTCGATATGAGTGAAGAAGAATTTTCTTGCGATTATCTAACTTATAGTAATTCACCAGCTGCTTTGCATCATAACAGAGTCATCAAAAGCCTAACTGTGGCAATCACTGTATGTTTTTTGGTGGCTGTTGCACTTGGAATAGCTTTCACCTACAAATGGAAAAGTATTAAGTCCTGGTACAAGTATAAAACTCAAGGTCCTGGTGCAGTGTACTATGTTCGAGCCAGGAATTCGCCTGGTCCAGCTATAAATGCAAGCTAGATTCTATTCAGCAAATACTCTTCCAGGTACGGTAAAAAGTTTATAAACTGAGAAGAAACTATTTTTTTTTTCATTTTCTGAACTGAAGAAACTGTGAAGAACGTTGTTTTTTATCTTTTTAGAAATAAAACAAAATAAAACGGAAATGTTTTGTTACAAAATGTACGGACTTTGCTGGAATAAGGTTTTAGTAAAACCTTGGAACGTTTGAAAGCGTAATATTGTTCAAATTTGCTAAAACCTTAACAACCTTAACATGATGTTAAGTATAACTATAGCATTATTTTTTCTTATGCTTTATTAGATATTATAGTTCACATTGATTCAAAAATTGATTCAATTTACCATCTTGACTTTGTTAGAATAGGGTTTTAGTGAAAATCTGAAACGTGTGAACTGGTTATTTCGTTTAAATTTGTTGAAACCTTAACATGATGTTAAGTATAACCATTGTTTTATTTTTCGTCAACTTAAATTAGTTCAAATTGGTTCATTTACTAGGGTTCATTTATCAACATTTTACTATGGTTTCAGCAACCTTGCACTCTATTCTGGGTCAAGGTACTAATATCATGGTTGAACTTCAGACCCATTTTTCTGTGATTGTAATTTTTAAGCTCTTAGTGAATGATTCATCATTTACAGATTTTTAATATTGTAATTGAGTGTTAAAATTTTTTAGTATGAATTAAGTATATTTTTTTTGTTTGGTTTTACTTATGTTTTTTTTTTATTATTATTAATTTTTTTTATTTTTATTTTTTATTTTTTTAGTTTTGTTGAGTAAAAAGGAAGAATTTTTTGCAAGACAACGACAGACTACTAAACGATCAATGTTAAATCATAAGGAGATAAAAAATGCTGATGAATATTTGTTCAAAGTTTAGAAAAGGCAAAAAATTACTAGATCTAGTTTTAATTTAATTTATAAAGAAAAAAAATATAACATGAAGGAATATCTTGCTTTCTTTGAAATTAACATTGCCTTGTGATTCCTTTTCTGATATTTTAATTTCTTTACTTTGTGCTTTTAAATAAAGAAAACATATTTTAAATTTTAAAAACAACTTTTTTTCCTATTTTTATTTATATTACTGTAAGTTCTTGTGAATTTCTTTAAAAATGGTCTTACGCTAAATTTTAAGTTAAAAAAAAAGTCGCAGTTTTAAATAAATAGCTTTAATAAGTTGAGAACTACTAGTTTTTATCAAACCATTTAGTTTTTATTGTAACCATGTAGTTTTTGTCCTATTTTCCTTACTATAATAATTTTATTTCCTAATATTAAATCAAATGTAACATATGAATGAGAAAAATCTTGGTCATATTTATTTCATAACATTAGTACATTTTTACTATGTAGTATTATAACTAAATAAACTAGGTTAAACTTCCCGCAAAATATGGTCTTGATTGAAAAACTAAAATAGGGGACTTTAAATTTGAGTGACATTTTTTTTAAAAATATTTTAGTTTAAGTAACCTATATAAAAATTTAAGCAATTACATTTGCGTCATATATAATAAGGTTAAATTATTTTAAAAATATTATGAGATTGAAGCAAAGAAAATTTCTACTACTTTAAGTTAAGCTTCCACACATTAAAATTGCTTCTACTTTTTACACACGTATTTAATTTTTTTCAAATTCTTTTGTTCATTTAAAATCATTTTCACTAATTTATTTTTCTTGGAACTTGTTTTCATTTCTTAAAAAATGTGTTACAAAACGAATATGTAAAAATGTGTTACAACATTTTTACATATTTGTTTTTGCTGCCATTTTATTTTACATTCGACATGATTATATACGTACCTATATTTCTGAAAGAAAAAGGGATGAAGAATGATTGTTTTGCATTTGTTTCCTTCCTGTGTATCAAAATTGACCAGAAATGATTGTAAATAGATTTTTGTTTTTAGTTCTATTAGTTTTTGCTAATTAAATTCTTCTTCGAAAATATATTTTGAAGAAAAAAAACAAGTAGTCTTTGTGTAATGAATATCTCTGTAAATTGAAATTTGTGTTTTGCACTTACTTCCTACGTGTATCACAATTGAACAGAAACGTTTGTAAATACAAGTTGCTTTAGTTTTCAATAATAAAAATATTTTTCTTTAGTTTCTTTTTGGGAAAATAAGAAAAACATATTTAGTATTTGTCTGGATGATTTTGAGAGTTTTTTTAGTTTAAAATATTTAATTATTCATATGTCATTGATTTTTGTAGCAAATGTTTAGCTGTTTCGTCATATGTTTCGATATTACAAAATCATGATCATTTCTTGTATGTTTCAAGATGTAAGAGTAATAAAAAATTTTAAAAATGATTTTTTCATGCAAGTATGTTTTTACTGACAATTACTAAAAAAATACAAAAGAACAGGAACCGAATCTGAAATTCAAACTTTAAGTACACGAAAAAGGAATCCCAGTTTATATGCTTTTCATCGATGTATCATAACCTACAAGTAAAACTTGGTATAAACCGATTCCTTACAACGATTCCATTGACATTATGAAGTTAATAAATTCATTTCACTGCTATCAGAAAACATTTAACTGTCAAACCTCGAGACATAGCATCGTTCTTTTAACGTTGGAAATTTTTGTAACGTATATAATTAGTTAAGTATAATTTTAATACCCTTTCCTTAGGTGCAAATATTTATTTTTTAAATCAAAATTTCATTTCGAATTTTCGCAAATTTTAATAATCCAGAGACATATTGCTAGAAGTCCAATATTATAATACCTTCAAGACATTAATTTTTAAGATACAAAAATTGTTTGTTTATAACAAATTAAACGAAATATTAGCTTTCTGCTATAGCGGCAAAAATTCGTTCGGGGAAAATGCAATCATTTTTCTGTAATTAAAATTAACAAATTTATACGAAGGAAGACAAAATAGAAAACGCTTTTGTTTATATCTAATATTAATGTAGAAAGTGATCATCATTTCACCTTATTTTCCTCTTTTAATCATAATCCTTTAAGTTATTATTGTGGAACAACACCAGCTAAATTATCATCCTATATAAAAATGAAAAAATCTTTTTCTGTTATCAACAATATTGCCATATACTTCAAATGGACGTACAACTCAATAAATAAATAAATAGACCCACCTGAATAACTTTTAATCTAATGATCGGATCATCATGTTCCAGGACTCATTCTTAATAGTTCGATAGGGTGACGTCAAATATTCTAAAAAGGGTTAAAATTAATTCTAAAGATAAAGATTAAGATTAAGTCTATAATTTGACTTTCTGAGGTAAATCTTACATTAGATACCCTTTTTGTTGTGGATTTTCTTGCGATCAACGGCGTCCTGGAGTTTATTTGACATACGTCAGATTAAGAAAATAAGCAGTAGCAAAATCAAATATACTAATTAGTTAGTGCAAATGGTCTTATAAGTTTGGAAGTTAGACACAAAAAAGTACTTTCTCTTATTAAACATTTGTTATATTCTCTGATTAAACATACCTTTTTTTTCCCCGATGGATTCGAATTTCTGACCCCCAAAATATAGTATCCATAATCTGGAAATATAATCCTAATAGTTCGGTCAGAAGTGCGGTTTAAAGCTTGGACCATTTAATGTTAACTTTAGTTTTTGCGTATTTCATTATATTCCGAAATTTTTTTAAGTGATTTGAAAATTTTTTGCATGCAATCATAAAATTCCTTTTTCTAAAGATAATTTCTTGCAAAATATAGCTTTCAGTAAATATTTATTATTTTATTTAATGGTAATCGAAAAATTTTAGAATTGTAAGGTATAAAGCATTTACATCATTTGAAAGAATGCAATTTTAAATGGCGAAATGGGGAATCGGTCGAATAGTTCATGAGAAATAAAAAAAATTCATATTTGTCAAAATTTGGTTCCCTACCTCCTAATTTATTTTTTTTCTGACTTAAAATTCATAACTATGAAAGCAAAAGTCAATTTAAATCGTAGAGGAAAAACTGTTTCGCTTTGATCTGAGGTAAACAATAACTAATTAGCTTCGTGAAACGTTATTTGTTGTTAATTAGTTAATTAACGTTATTCATGCCATAATGTAACGTTATTCATGCCAATATGTGAACAGCTTCTGCAGAGCGAAATATTTATTTTTATTTTCATTTATTTATTTTTAATTAAGTCAGTTAAACATTGTTTGTTCTTTTTTTTATTTTTTTTTTATTATTTTATTTTTTTAATTTTTTTTTTTTTTTTTTTTGCCGCATTTGTATAAGGATATGTTTTATTCAAATAAATAATAAATAACGGAGAATATATTTTCACTTTTACTTTCAAATGAGTGTGTGTAAATGTAAATAGAATTTACAAAATTTAGTAACACGAAATTACAAAAGATAAGTTGCGTTAAGATAGCTATTAATTATACTGATTAAATAAATAATTAAATTATTAAATTTTATTTTGTTTTTTTCGAGTTCACTAATAAAAATAGGCTCATTACACATGCAAGTAGTTGGTTCGTAAATACACATTTTATTTATCTTGTATTTAATTTTTCAAGAATAAAATTTTTTCTTATTTTATCTTATTTTTTTATCTTATAGGACACTATTCTTTAAGAAAATTTGTTTATAATAGATGGCAGCACTAGTCATTAATTTTGGGTCTTAAAGGGATAAGAAAAGATATTTCCGTATAAAACGAATAATTTTAAATAATTTTTACGGTAATTGTTATTCGAAAATATTTCTGCCTGCCGTTAAAAAACTTAATTTTGTAATGTTGAGCTGTAGTTTGATTCATGTATGATTGTATGAATAACACGAAGAAAAAAAAGAAAGAAAAAAACATTTTGTATTGATCTGTTGTTGTTTTCCCTTCAGTATTAATAATAGTTATTAAAGATGTCACTAGATGGCAATCAACTCTTTTAATTTTCTAAAAGTAAGCAGAAAGGAAAAAACATTTTTTTCATATATAGACATTCCGTGTTCATTAAAATTTGTTTTCTGAAAAAAAATTAGTGTTAATAATTTTTC